ATTGAAAAAAAAAAGGAAAATAATACATTCAATTTTCTTTTCATTTCAAAACACATAATTTCACGCAGGACAATGGCTGCGGGGTCAGCTAGTTTTATAATAAGGACCAAACATGTCGCTATCTTGTACTCTRTAGGAGTATAAATACTACTTAGGATCGGCACAGCTCCCAACAGCCTCAACTCATTTTCCTATGGTTTTTGGAATGCAAATTTCGTCTTATAAAATAACCGAACAAATCTGACAAGCCAAAGGTTAACCAAATAAAAATGTCAAAGGCCGAAAYATATTGCAGCCAAATATTTACTTTGGTCCGTGGACTTGACCACGTTCGCTGGCGTGTTGGTTTGTACGAACGAGAACATGTTGACAGCTTGTAAGCCAACAAGCGCAGTTGGAAATCCGCAAGAAATTGCTTGAAGTAGCCGGTAGTTCACCACATTGACGAATTTGATCAAAGTGGAACTTGGACATTCAAGGAAATTCGACACATACGCACATAACAAGCGCAGCCAGCGATCCTCATGCACGTCGATACAGGGACAAATTGACCATGGCAACAACAATAGAGGAGCAGGGGCAAAAATGTCCTGCCGTTAGTTGGGTCGAAACAACACAGCAGGATGCACCATAATATTTTGGTTTATGACTTCTGTGTGACGCTACGCACCACATACCACATTGGCTACAAGATTGTCAGCGCAGARAGCTGTAGGCTGAGAGCGGTAGAGAAAGAGAGCGCTCGTTAGTTAGCCGAGAAGCAAATCGGAAAAATTCATGAGGAAATGATGGAAAGTCATGTCGATCGTTCAATTGCTCGGTCGTAACAGTAAATGAAACGAATTGGAGTACAACAACTAGCCGAGGGGTGCATGGAGAGTTGCAAAGTGAACAGAAACGTGTTTACCTATGCGCTGAGAGCGCAGCGYATATATAAATGTTGTTGGCAAGTAATTTGGCACGCACCTTAGGGGGGAGGCGAACGAGCGAGGGCACGTTGCAATGCAGCGTTGGTGGTTTTGGTGGCAGCGGCGGCGACTACACGAGCAGCAGGACATGCCGCTGAATTTTTTGTGTTAAAAAAATATAAATAATTTCTCTTTGCTAGATGTGAAGTGTATTTTTTGCAACAATTGCTTTTTAGACATGCTGCATTTACACCACCACCTACACACACACACACACACTAACCTGAGTATGTTTAGGTAGCCCGTCAGTTATTTGAATCGTGTTTGTGTAAATTAAGTCGTTACGGTCAGCCTTGTCACAACTCGGCTCAACACGACATTTGTGTGTGTGTGTGCGTTTGTGGCCGACGCTGTTGGTAGGCGGTTAGGAGTTGCTGCTGGAGCAATCTTATTTGGAACGTTGTAGGTGTTGTATTTGTCAACATTTGCACGCTGCACGTTCGTTCCGCAGCCGCTGGGCACTGAAGTGGCAATAAAAGCAGCGTCGCGTCGCGTCGCGTCACGTCGCAGCCGCGGCGCAAAGTGACATGTTTCGGTGCGTGGTGGAAGCGGCACAAAATTGAGTTACAATTTGCCAGCAGGGTATGTTTGCTGACCAAGCAGTGGTAAAGCGGTGACCAACCGGCAGTTGCCCGGCAGTGGTGGCACCTTTCTACGGTGACCGCAAATGTTTTTGAACTCATGTCTAATGCGCCGCTGGAGTCTTGTATGCGCCATACGCATGCGTTTTTCGATATTTCTCTCTATATGCGTATATGTATATTTGGGCTTGGAACCTGGTGGTTCGTTGGCCAGCGTCATTGAAKAGGCAAAAACGCACATAAAAAGGCATGAGCATGTGCTAATTTCGTGAATGTGGCGAGTAAATTGAGAGTAGCCAATATGTTGCATGATGGCGGGAATAACGGCGTCGAATTCMATTGTTTTTGTTCGGTATTCATTCGCATGACAATCTGAAATATTGTGTCTATAAACGATGCTGATGGGTGACGGTGATGTGGTGCGGCAGCCGCGATGGGTAGTCACTAATTTCCAGCGATTTTCGTCTCAATTCKGCTACTAATGTTTGATAATATTTGTAGGWTGTATGTGCAATTGAACCAGGTTGGATTGCAGGCGAAACTGTTTGGAACACTTTTACCTACCATAAGGGGGTTGGCAAGCTYCTTCGGTTCAGATCATCTTCAGAAACCTGAAGGAGCRCTGAAAGCATCATTTTTTAACTTTTGTTTCAGAAAGAAAAGTATCGTATAATTTATGTAAACTTAAAATTTCGACCGAATGGACGAAAATACTGCAGATCTGTGAGTATTCGACGGAGTACCCACCGAGGGAAGCACAGGAAGAACTGGATTCYATGGGAAAGACAGCAAAAAGGAAGAAGGCTGTAAAGCCACTAAAGAAGAAGATGAAATTGAAAAAGGTTATAATTAAACTTGTATCAAAAGCTTGAGTACAGATACCCCTGACGTCCAGGTTCACCTTCTCCTTGATGCAACTTTGACAGCGAGCGCACTTTTGAGTGAGATGCGTTTATCTATTCGTGTGGAGTCTTCGGCGACGATTGTAAGTGATTATGCCTTAAGGATTTCAGCTTTTGTCTGAGTCTGGGTTTTCTGCTCACGGGGCATGCACATCTGAATGTATATTTGCATCAAAGGCAACTACCTGACAGGTCGGGTTGTTTTTGTGGGGCGGGGGTAGATGATTGGGTGCATATAATGGCAGAATGCCCGATGTACTCGGACATTAGGGATACGGGTCCCATACCACCCATATGCCTAATGTCCGAGCTGGACTGCTGGACGATTAGATGTTAGTGGTGTGTTCTCCACTGATCGAAATACCGAACAATTAGGCTCGTTTGCCAGTGAGTTGTTTAAGCGGAGAAGGCGTTTGTAAAGAAGCTCAACTGGTAGTAGCTTCGACTGCGAGGTCTGACCGGAAACTTAATTCCGGTGCCACGGAGAGCAGGAGCCTTTGAAGTTCGCTCCAACCTGCTCATGCGGACTGGCTCCTCGGGGAGTACCGTGGTGGTTGTGGTTAAAACCCAAATGTGGAAGAACTGACACATTTTGAGTTGAATATGGAGTTGCATTGTAACCTGCACATGTAACCGGGTGCCGGGAYCCAAAATACGGCAGAGGATTTGGATGGGCCTCGATCCCTACCAAGGTGTGTATTGTGTACATTCCACACTGYCACACTGGCGCTGATCAAAACATTGCTTTAATACGCTATGCTTTTGAGCGCCGTGGCACCAAGCAATGTTCAATCTTAMSTTTGAATTCCGATCGGGCAGTATTCGGCTAGAACTCTATAAAGGTTATCTTTACTGAGGGGCACTAAACSTCTCTCCAATTAGCCTGAGTCAGATGGCTCTTGAATTTGCACAGTTGATTGTATGTAGCCACCGCTTGTCGAGTTCGAATGATACCTCACCTTCAGGTAGTAAATCACAAGAAGCCATGAAGCTCCTTGCCTAGTGAGACTGAAATCTCTGTTGACATAGTGGTTTTTTGGCGAATACGTCAAACGTTTAGAAAATATGATTGTCGGAATGATCGTTCCCTTGATGGGAAAGGTGATCCTATTCGACTGTTTGGTTTCTTGAAGAATATAAAGGTCACAAATCAACGGCACCCAAATGATGCGATGGATAGATTTATAAGACAACCTATTAGCATTGCTTTCATTAGGTGTTAAGTATATAAGGAATCTTTGATCAATCTATTGGATGATTCGAACCTCTACAGTAGAAAAACACACATAGCTACATAGCGATTGTTTCCAGATATTCGGACGGCCCAATTGTTGACACAACAGGTCCGAATAAGAGTTTGACCGTTTGGAAGCAGCTTAAAGTGGTTAATCCTCTGTCAATAGCAAAACCGTTGCGCCGGCTTCCCGAGATTCCACCASCACGTTTCAGAAATTCATTGATTCAATAGCGATTCGCAGATGGAAGTTTGATCTACGAGGTTTGTTTTGTGTGAACTCGTGTGACACCCAGACATCGAGTTACTTTTTATATCCAACCTTATTTAAATGCTTCCAAAACCCTTTTTGGGCAATGCTTAGCTCCTGGGTAGTCGAAACAGTATTTACATTTCGATCGAACTTGCCGATTTCTATTATTTTATCCACATTCCAGAGAGAAGTTCATAATTTCATAGAATGGTCCTTCATGATAAGAATCGAATCGACGAAGCCAAAATAGCACATGTCTGGTTTTTCCTAACAGAACAATAAACGCTATTCACATTTTCTACTGTCTGGTTTGCGCCTTCATCTTCATCGAAGAAAAACTCTAAAATGAGTTTTATTTTCTGTTGTTGTTGTTGTAGCGTCAGAAAACATTGTGGAAGTAATTTCGAGTGGTACCGAGTTGACAGTCCTTGGCTGGACAAAAATCCAGGTCCGTCCTAATTACTTAGAACCGACTGTCGTGAAAACGGAGTATTATTTTCTCTTAGTTGGTGCTCATCCTTGATGCCTGCACAAACAATACTGACTAATGCAATCTCAAAGTTGTGCCTGAGAAGTTATTTCTATAGCCATATAATACAATAGGATACATTTAACTCGAGATATATTACAGTTKGCTTTATATTGGAAAAACAATGGATTACTTTTTACTGGACCTTACATACATACTATATAAAACAACCCAATGACCACCCCATTTACGACCTAGTAAACAATTCGAATATAAATCCGAATCTCTTTCGGTTTTGGAAAAGGTTCGAAATGCCAAATCCGTGTTGTTGTTGTAACGRCAGAATTCTGCCGAGTTGACAGTCCTTGAGTCCTTGGCCGGATAAAAATCCGGGTCCGTTCTGGTTTTYGTAGACCCGACTGTCGTAGACCCGTGCCAAATCCGTCATTCCCTCCGTTCCTTCGTTTTTTCACTGAAAATGACATTATTTAAATTCTAATTCCAGTCAATGAGCCTATTGTGATAATTACTACTACAAAAAAAAAAAAACAAAAAAAAAAAATCGTTAACCCCATTAAAATTATTCAACAATATTAGAGAATATATCGTTTTTTATTTTCAACAGCGAAAACCTGTAAGAAATCAAAGCTATTCATACGTAAATATAAACACATACAAATCCATTTATAACTATGTGATATATGAAAAACTGTCGAGTACAAACCAATTTGATCGCACCGTGGAATTTGGAATTTAGACAACATTATAAAATACACATATCTTAAGGAAAAAGTAGTTTCATTACTTTAATGCTTAATCTAAGAAAAATATATTTTGAATTTATGCTGGCGTTAACTTTGCTGTCGGTTCCAACAATGCCCACAAACCAGCTGCAGAGGAAATAGCACCCAACAATCCAATTGTACGCGGCGACAATCTAGTGTAACCAAGTGCAGTTAGTGGTATAAATAAGTCACATAAATTTTTCACTGTATCCACAGCCACATCCTTGTGGCTCAAAACCAAAGCATAGGAATGTAGAGCCAATCTATTAAAATCGCGCATTGAATTCAMGCATAGAGGCGACATTTTAGTGCTTGCACGGGTTATACCACTTTTTGAGCCAGCCTTATGTAAGTCGATCAATTGAAATATTTCATAAACATCTCGGCATAAATTCATTATAATTGATAGCAACCAGTACTTATTAGCAAATTTTCCCCAACGGTTTGTATTTATGCCCTTGAAGAGGCCCGTGCGAGCCAACCACATAAAATGGTCAGCGAGTAGGAACAACGATTGTGATAGTTTGCTCAATGTCAGTGTCACGCGTATCGTAAGATCGGGATAATGTATGGTACGTAAGGAAGAGTAAAATATATCCACACAGCGACCGAAACGCAGAACTAAAAATAATATAGTTAAATGAGACAATAATGTTAGGTTTAAATCACAGSGCGACTTACGTTTTCGGAATGTGCTTAATATATACTCCACAGTTTTGAAGCTATCCGCTAGAGCCGGACTGGCATCAACACTCTCCAGCGAATCCCATAAAGCACGCGAGGCATATTGCACAAGTCTGTGTATAATTGCACATCAAAAATGCCACAAAAAGGATGCAATAACTTTAAAATACTTACCTAGCAATTTTATCACGGCCGGCCGTCTGACTATTTAGCAAAACCAATTTATCCAAGCTCATAATTTTTTCAGTTTTACGTGTGATTTCGTGTTCTGCTTCCAGTAGATAATGTTATTTGCACTGTGTTATTGGTTAGCTCAAGGTCCAACCGGATAAATAAACAATCTCATATGCAATTAGAACACGAATTTGTTTAGCTAATCTGCAACCTGTTTTGTTTTTGTTGTCTTATTGCGGCTGTCAAATGCCGGTGTGTTGAAAATGTGCTACAGCTGTTGGCGTGGTGAGTGATTGGTTTGAAGGAATTTACAGAAATTTAATCAATATTAGAAATATGCTTACGTAATTGAAATAACAGAAAAGTAATAAAAATATTTTTCAAATTTCTACATGTTTTTAKGGTACTTTGAATAAAAAATATATTCATTTTAATAAAAGTTGCAAGAGCGCCATCTTCTCGTTATATATTTGTGTTGCACCTTAGATGGCGCTGTTGAATAATTAGTGAAACAACTTGTATTCCCTATGCATTGGTGCAGTTTTTTTTTTATCAAAGAAGAAAACATTAAAAAAATTTATATATTCGAAATTTTGTAAGCATAACCTGTAAACTTTACAAATAACAAAGAAGTATACTAATTAACTTGTCAAAAAATCAATGCCCCAATCATTAAGTTTTATTATGCGCTGAAAATGCGAGAGATTATTGCTGTCGATATTGTCTGTGCAGACTGTATACATACCATATATGTTCTTTAAGGCTAGCAATTTGTATCTGAATAATTATGATGAATCAATGAATTTGTTGATCTCAATATTGCCAATGCTTATGGCTGGTAATTCTTAGCTTAATCATTATCGCCATTACTATTGCTGGCAATAAAGTGTCATGTATTTTAACTACTCAGTTTTCACTACAAGCCCGCTTTCAGCCGAGGCCCGCACAAAAATTTATTTGGTTTGATAAATTAAATATATTATTAGTTTAGACATTTTGTTTGCCTGATCAATATTTTCAGTTAAAATCCAGGATAACATACCATAACGATGGTACCATTACTTTTCCACTTATTCGACGTGAGGTAATTAATGTACGAATTTTAGGCTCTGTTCACAATTATTATGAAGATTTGGCAGTTCCTTTATTTTATGACATTTACTTTGAATGTTTGGCAGTTCGTATTGCTTAAAGCGTAGTGTGTCGTGTCAATGGTAGAGTCGAATCAAAAGAATCGTATCTTTGGCAAAAAAAGAGGTCGAGCAAGAGAGGTTAGGTTAGAAGGCGGATCTAGGCATAGGCATTTAATTTCCATTCCCRCCAGTTTGGTGGGATGCCTGAAGGTATGCACTCCTTAGTGTGTAAGCCTTTATGTACCTCCCAAACGCGGGATGTTCAAGAAGGAATATTTGAATTATTTCCAKCAYACATCTTCTGCAGATGGCGTCTKGTAAGATTCTCAACCTTACAGCATGGGCGCCTATAGGGTAACGGCCTGTTAAAACCTCCATAACTGGGCCAGGCTTGTCTTACTGAAGACAGAGAGATTACTAAGTATCTTGCGATCGCTCTTGGACCAAAAGGATTTTGCGTCAGCGAATTTACCGATGGTGGCTAAGCTCCCGCG